AGGTCCCCAGTCAGTGATTGTGACAGTGCCATTTCTTAACACTTTTCCATGTGGCCCCTGACATTTGAGTGTAGTGGCTTTGAAATACCTGGAATTCATGATTTTACAGGATTCCGTATCGCCCCTGCCTTCCATAGTTGTGAAGTTTCCATATTCTGTAAGTGCAGCCCCTCCTATCATGTAGAAGCCATAATCAGTGTGGTTTAAACTTTCACCAGCTGGTCCAAGCTCGTGGTTTAACAGTTACACAGCCAGGGCTGGCACCGAGGCATAAAGGTAACACTTCAAAGCCTAGGGTAAAATTTAATTCCCTGCCTTCTTCGTCGGAATGCATGGCTGCCCCATTTTCCCCAGGGCTTGGGGAAATGTAAACTCCTCTTTCTTTTCATTTTACTCAATGCATGGTTGCACTCTCCTAGCAGCAAAACAGACCAGGCCCGAAACACAGAATTCTACGTTACAGCTGATATAACATGCAGCTTTGCCTGTTTGGCACATTATCTCAACCAAGGCAGGGGATTCTGGAGGAAGTTAAACCACTCATTAACGTAGGGAATTGATTAGGATGTCTAAGTGAAGGTAAAAAATCTTGAGTTCCTTTATTGAGAGGAGGGATAGTAAAAAAAGTCTAAGATTGTATAATGAATAGTAATAGGCAGGATAGTGAAGAACAGAGTAGTAGTGGGAGCAATAGGATGGACAAGTAAGGCGGTGGAGTTAATGACTTCAAGATCCTGAACAAGCCTGTAGCTGCCATTAGGCTTAATAACCAGCACAGTAGGTCTGTTGTAGGGAGAGTGGCTGGGCCTTAACCAGGCCTGCTTTGAGTAGTTTTGAGATGATAGGTTTAAGGCCCTTTAAGTGTCAGAGAGCGATAGGATATTTGGGGTACATTAGGAAACTTCTAGGGGTCTTTTAACCTGATGTAAACAGGCTAGTGATGCCTAGCAATTGAGAGGTTGGTAGGTTAACCAGAGCAAGTGGTAAAGGAAGGGAATTGCTGGGGGGTCCTGGGACACTAGAGTTATTTTGTGGGGAAGTGGAGGCAGGCAGAGTATCTGGTACAGCTTGCAACAAGTTTGGAACCTGGGAAGCTTCTGGTAAATGCAAAGTTACCACTATTTTGACTTTAGTAAGAATAATATCTCTGCTCAGTAAGGGGCTGAGACATTTAGGAATGACTAGAAACTGGTATGAGAATTGTACATTATAAAGACTGTAAAAGTAGTTGTGTAATGCAAGGATGTGAAATGATAACAGACCCTACAATAATGGTGTGTGCTATAAAGAAGTTTGTCTGAGTGTTCAGGTAGTATAGAATAAGTGCTCGCCCTGCCCTGCCCCGCCCCGCCCCCCAACCCTCTGTGTCTAAAAGGAAAGAAATAGGCTTACCTGAGATGATGATCGTTACTCTGGGCTCGAGATGGGTGATCTCCGTGGGGGTCGTCAATCTAGGGCGCCATCATTTCTCCATCACCAAGCCTAGCAGCCCTGACAACGAGTCATCGATTCATCGAGCAGTTTTCTCCAAAGGTCTTATGGGATAGACTGTCTTAACCACACTCTGTTAGATAGGGCAGTCAGTTCCCCAGTGACTTTTTTGCTTGCAACGTGGGCAAGGCTTTGGTGGGGGGAGAGGATGGGGACATTTTTGTGCCCAATATCCTACTTGGGGACATTTAAAGTAGGGTCTGGGTGGGTCACTGTTTGTGGCCCTGTGTTAACTGGCTTGGATTCACCCATTCTACCCTGAAGGCATTAACCAGCATCTGATATTTGGGTTTTCTCTCTGTAATTTGTCTATATTTTCTTGTTCTTCCCTATTATTGAAAACTTTAAAAGCTGTATTGAGAAGACCTATAACAAAAGACTGACAAAGACCATGGGAACCCCAATACAAGACTTTGTAATTTACAGTTTAAAAAGAGCCAAGGTTAAACTCTGTGTTTTTCCATGCCCCCCTTTATCTGACATTAAAAAAAGAGGGAGAGAGCACAAGCCATTAGTACCAAGCTTTTCCTCCGAGGGGAAGGTCCAACATACCCAGAGAAGGAAGGAAAGGAGTCAAGGAGCTGATCTTTTTTTTTTTTTAAATCATTTTATTAGGGGCTCATACAACTCATCACAATCCGTACATACATCATTTGTATCCAGCACATTAGTACATATGTTGACTTCATCATTCTCACAACACCCGCTTTCCACCCAAGCCCTTGGTGTCAGCTCATTTTTCCCCACTCCCCCCTCCCCCTTGATAATTTATAAGGAGCTGATCTTTTTAAAAGTACAATCATCTACATCTGCTCACATCGAGGATGGATACGCTGGAAACCAGGACATCACGACTGCGATGGCCAGGTGTGGAAAATTAAGAAGCTGGATGAAAATGTAAAAGGGCCAGTTCTCTCCACTCATAGCCACGGAGTTTGGAAGGCCAACTCTAGTAAGGGAAGGCTCTCACCGTCTGAGACAGAGAAATAGAATCTAATACGCATTCTCCAGACAGAAAGAGTCTTTAAGGTGTTAATGTAAAGTTGCCTTTTGCAGGCACCCAGCTCTTCTCTTAGCTACCTGGCTGTAAATACCCTTCTCTAAAAACAGACAAAACCCCGTTAGTTCTTTTTTTTTAATGCTTTTATTGGGGGCTCTTACAGATCCCATCACAATCCATACATTCATCCATTGTGTCAAGCACATTTGTACATATGTTGCCATTATCATTTTCATAGCATTTTTCTTTCTACGTGAGCCCTTGATATCAGCTCCTCATTTTTTCCTTCCATCCCCCACCCTCCATCCCTCATGAATCCTTGATAAATTATAAATTATTTTTTATAATAATAATAACTCCTTTAGTTCTTATCATGCTGGGAGTCAGCTTTTCCTTTGTATCTTAGCTGCCCGGTACTTTAGAAGTGTCCACCCTTTTCCTGTTAGTTAAGAGGAAGGCAGATGCATTTCATTCTCCAGGAACCAGCTCTTCACATATAACTTCTCTATGTTGATAAGTTACTTCCTACGTACACTTGGTGTTTCACAGACAATGTTGAGAATATGCTTATCTCTATAGCATCCACTGCTCTTGAGTATTCTAGCATGATTTGTCACCATTTTGACACCATTTGTTTCTTGTTCACCAGACACTTCCTTAGAGATGTTCCCACAAAGGAGTCAGGATATCTCAGATTCATACTTTGCCCAATCTATTGCATATGTGCCGGATGGAGGCTTGCACACCTCGCTACTATGTATACTGTTTAATAAATTGGACCTCTCTCTCTCCTGCATGCTCCATTGTCTTTCCTTTTCTTCCATAAGCCACTCCTACTCCAGACGGCAGAAGAAAGTCCTCACACCAACCACTCTATGAGAACTGAGAGGAGGAGAAGGTGAAAAGAGAGATTTGAGGGATAGGAGAATGAGTTGAAAGTAAAAACTGTACCAGTCCAGAGAAAAGCAACTGGAAAAAAAGTAGTGGAATTGGAGTTTTGTTTTATAAGCTGTTATTTCCTTTAGCCTTTGTTCCATATTTAAAGAACTAACTGTGGACAGTATTTTGAAAGGGAATGTAAACATGTTAGAGTTCCAATAATCTTTCATTTTTCTTTTTTTTTTCTTTCTCCTTTCCAGAATCCAGATGTCATTCGGAATTGGAAAATACTACCCATTCTGTCTTCAGGTCAGCTCAGTTCTACTTCCATCATCCAGTGCACCTACCAAGTGATCAGGACTTTTGCCATGAATCCTTGGAAAGGGGTGTTTTCATGAGCCAAGACTCTTGTCTTTCTCCGCCATACCAAAGTGTGGACAAGACTAAGATGGATTTTACCAGGATAGAGAGCCTCCGTATCAATGTGAACTTGGGGAACAAAGAAGGGGTGAATGCACCTAAAAGTCAAGCTAGAGATCCTCTCAAATGTAACAGACAAAGTACTGATCTAAAACGAGACCATAAGGTCACCCCTGAACCAACAGCTCAGGACACACCGACCTTGAATGAACTCTGGACCCAGTACCAGGAGAGACAGAAGCACCAGAAACCCTCTGCGTTATGTGACAGTAAAGAACTCTCCCTGGTGGAGCGTCTTGATCGACTGGCTCGGATTCTTCAGAATCCCATCGCACATTCTCTGCAGGCCTCAGACACAGGGCATGAGGAGCGCAGAGAGGAGCGGGCCACGAAGGGGTGGTACAGCAGACCGCAACAGCAGAACAGCAAGCTTCCGAAAAAGAAGCGGTGTAAAGGCGTAGACAGATGCCACCGGAATGTGGACGCGCCGGGAAAAGGCAGCGTCCTGTGTACTCATCAAGCGGAGAGGCCCAATCAGATCAAATTTGAGCATGTGAAATTTAATAAGTACATCCTGAGAAAACAGCCAGGTTGTAATTGTAGAAGTAACACTTCTTCAGAGTCTCGGCCCTCCGAGGAGAGTGAGCTGCTCACCGACACTGCCACCAACATCTTCTCCACCACCACGTCTCCTGTGGAATCGGAGTATCTGACCCAGACAGACAAGGAGGTGGCCGTGCACGAGAGGAGCAGCTCCATTTCCACCATCGACACCGCCCGACTGATTCAAGCGTTTGGCCATGAAAGAGTGTGTGTGTCGCCCCGGCGGATTAAACTATATAGCAGCATCACCAACCAGCAGAAGCGGTGCCTTGAGAAGCGGTGCAAGCCGAGCCCGAAAGCCGTGGCCCTGGGTCACTTTCACGTGGCTGCTGAACACACCGGGCGGAGGAACATCCAGGTACATGGCTACAATTTCCATCTGACACTGGGACCGCCTTTTTCATGGACTTTCTAAGTTAAGCATTGCACACAGGTGGAAAAAAAAAAAAGCCGATTGCCCTTTCCTCACTATAACCTTTCCTACCACCTGGAAAAGAGTGAGAAAGTGTAGCACAGCGCTCTTGTGAGTTGTCATTCTTTTCATCACCACCCGGTTTTGAATTGCCGTGGGTTGAGGGCCTTGGCTGCTCGCTGCCTCAGGATCTGCACAGGATCGCTCTGGCACCGGGCAGCTGCAAGTGTAGAGTGACCTCCATCCGCACTGGTGGTCACTCCTTTTCCCCGTTAATCACTCCTCCCTAGCTTGAAGCACTTTCAAACGCACACACAGATACAAATGATACCGTGAGATTTCTTTTTTAAGTAGATGAAGAATTGGGAAAATTAAAATGAAGCCAAGAGTGAGCTACAACTTGATTAAAAAACTTTTAAGTGAAGAATGGTGAGCGATGGGGAAACCAATTGAAGCCAAAGGGAAGAGAAGTACACCCACAAATGTGGCCTTGCGTTCTCGTGTTCCTGGAGTGCTGTGATCAGTTCACTGGGGGCTAGTGGTTGGAGCTCCTCGGGAGAGAGACCTGGCAGTCTGCCCTGGGGGGGAGGACAGCCTCTTCCGTCCTGCAGCATGAGGTTGCCGCAAGTCAAAATGCACTCAGCAAGACCGCACAAAAAATGTAAAAACGTTCCAAAACCAAAACACCAAACTCACTGCCATCCGGACTCATAGTGGCCCCCTGTGGGTTTCCAAGCCTGTACCTGTTTATGGGAGTAGAAAGCCCAGTCTTTCTCCCAAGGAGCTGCTCCTGGTGGTTTTGAACTGCCAACCATGGGGATTGCAACCCAGTGTGTAACCACGACGCCAAAGCACTCCAGATATTTCTGGTATTAAAACCTCAGAGATCTATCTTAAAGCAGGCACTGAAGTGTCACAGAGCCCTCAACAGCCTTAACATAGATTCAGCACCAGCCCCCGTGAGGGTAGTTCGGCATTCCTTGGGCTCAGGATTTCAGGAAAGGCAGTTAGGGGAGGCCGGCCACAAATACAGACAGTTACCTTAAACCAACAATAAAATTTGAAGTGCTTACACAGATCTTCTTCAAAGAACGATGCTTGCCAAGGAAAATGGAAAGAAAAATGTTAGAATTTCATTTTTCTCAGCCTTTCAGAATTTATATTTCCGTGTCTGTTTTATAATATATGGGTGCAATAGTTACATAATTTATAAATAAATAACTATTTTGGCAATTTGTGCTCAAAATGTTTTGTCAGCCCGATTGCAGAGTCCAAAATATTTGGAGGTGACCAATTTAGAGGAAAGGAGTGAGATGTTTAAACAATTTTACATGAAGTATTATTTCCCATAGTAAAGCTTAACATTGGCAAAAGCCTAGAACGCATTGGGGGTAGGGCTCATGCCTTATTTTGAAATTGAGGGTCCTGACTGAGACAAACGCTAAATAGAAGATCACTTCACCTCTATCAACAGTTGACCCAGAACACATACAAGTTTAGGGTCGGGATTTTCTTCTGAAAGCTGAAGGTTCAAGGTTTGGCCACTATTCGTCTGTCTCTAGAAAGACTTGAAACACAGCCATAGACATCTGGGGAAAGCACCTAAATAGCATCTAACTTTCCGCCTTAAACTTCCTGGTGAATTCAGCAGTATAAATCAGGTGCACTTGATGCACTCAGTTGCTATTTTAGGAGAATTAGTGAGAAAACAGTTAAACTTAGTGTCTTCCTAGTCTAATGATCTTGGAAGACCGTTGAACCCTAGCCCTTCTTTAGTTAATAACTGGGTAGCAGAATCAGTTGTCTCCAAAGGCCCCTGCTAGCTCCTGATGATGGAATCAGGACAATCACATAGGAAACTCTTGGTGCGTACACTCTCTATCTGGGGATGGGAATAGGGTGGTTAGATGGGTGTGTGGAGGTGCATGTGAGCTTCCCTTTGAAAGATCAAGTGGTTGGGACAAAAACAAAGCCGCAAACAACACTTTCTGGTTTTTTTCAGTGGACATACTGAATTTATTGGGAAACACTACTAAGTTGATCGGTAGTATTAAAACATAGTGTCCAGGGACTACTCTGCACTCCTATCTAATGTGCTCTTTTTAAATATGAAAATGACCTTGACAGTCATCTTGCAGGAATATTTGGAAGTGATGTACTTCTAAGCACAAGACCATTTAACCTACAACAAAGGTGTCCAGGAGGTTTTCCTTAAGAAGTAGTAAGTACAGAGGACCATGGAGATAAGCTTACAGAACTGATTAAAAAAAGTCTAGTAAAAGCTGAATAAAGTGTTTTAAATGGCATAGGTAACCAATTACCTTTGGTGAGAAGAGGGTCTCGACGCCAAGAACTGATAGAATTTATTTTTAAGAACTTTGGGGGTTCAAGACCCAGAGTATGTAAATATTGAATTGATACGGGAAACAAAGTTGTCTTAGTCACGCACACATTTAGTGAGTGCTTCCTCTGTGCACAGCACTGCGGTGTGCTAAGCAGATAGAGAACATGTTAAGGGTGTCCGCTCAGGAAACTCATAGTTTCATTGGGGAAACAAATTCCTTGAGCCACAGGTTCTCATAAAGGTGTCAACGAAATACTGTGGGAATCCAGGTGAAGAGACTGGTCGGTTCTTTTCAATAAGTTGGAAATTGAGAATTCATAAGTGGTTATATTTGGATGTAGATAGAAAGCAGGAACTTTGGGAAATGTGGAAGATTGACAATCTACAACCGTCCTATGCTTTTGTTTTTTTGTATTTTTTGAGATGTATGTAGAGTTCTATTTCCTAATTCTAAAATGAATTACACACCTTGTGAAATACTGATTTTGGACATGTTTTAAAGTAGCAAGGTAAGCCTTCATGATTAGTGATCATGCAAATTTAGCACCTACATCAGGATACTTGAGAGTGGAAAGACCTGTAATGAAAAGTTAGGGCAGACACTGAGCCAAAGCACTGGGGGAGTACAGTGGAACAGCAGGGAGGGGAGCAGCAAGACCCCCAGGGAAGGATGAGGGTGGACTTTGGGGACAGGGC